AAGTGAAAAAGATATGGAGGGGGGGGGGGGGAACTATGCTAATCTACCTAAAGGGTGAAAACAGGGAAGAGTGGGGGGGAAAAATTCCCCTGAAAACAAAAAAGAAAACTTTTTTAAATAAATAAACAAACATTTTAAAAATGCTACATATCTAATTCTAAAAATTAAAGAAAAATGTTTAAAGAAAAAAATCAGGCTACTGAAATTACATAACCTTTTTTTCAATTTCACCATTATAATTAAATATGTAAACTGCGAATTAAACCCAGACTACATGGAATCATATTGTTTATTACATATTAATAACTATTTTAAAAAGAAATGTTAACTGCAATGTTTTTAAAAGCTTAACAAAATACAGTTTAAAAACTTTTGGATCTTTTGGCGCACAGTGGGTGAGGGTGGAGCTCATTCCAGACTTATTACGTAGCAATGAGATACTGGTGTATTTGAGAAGTCATCTTCTCTCCTCCTCCTATGCAGTGTCACCAAGGCCATCAGCGTATCAGGCTTCAGGGGGCCTTCTCTGTCAGGTGCCTCTGGGCCCCATCTGGAAGAACTGGGACACCCACACTTCTCTTGCCTGGACTGATCTCATCCCCATGACACATGTCCTGCTTGGCTGCTGCCCCCATTGATGCATAAAAGGCTTTAATGCTGGTACTACTGCAGGTGTCACTCATCCCCTATTCCAGACCATGGATGCATGCACTGCAAACAGCACAACTGGCGCTCACAATCAGGACTTGGTGGCTTCTAGGTTCTTACCCAAGGAGCCCTGGATTGGTCTATCTGAGGGCAGGTGAGGCCTAGGGGAAAGCTTGTAAAACAGGCAGTGGCTACCAACTGCGTTTTCCTCTGAACTGGACACCTATACATGACAATTTATAAGAACCTTTCTCCTATGTAGCAAGTCCTCCGTTACATCCAGCTATATGGTTTTTCTGAACACTTCTGTCATGAGAAAGCATGTAAATAGCTGAATACCATCTGTCATCAATGGTTATAGTCTACGAAATGAATCAGACTGTTTAAGAAGCTTAGATCATGATGGAACATGTCAGCTGCTCATTTGGTAGCGTGTATCACGATTAATAGCTCCCAGACAGACCCATCCCCAAAATGGCCAACAGCCATACAGTGAAACTACTTCTATTAAATACTTTGTATAATTTAAGAATAGAGACCTAGAAAGCACTGCCAAGTCTTTTTCATGATCTCTTCCAAAAGAGGATTTACATCAGACATCTTCATTGTCTCATCTCCATCTCCTTTCTCTTTAAATAAAGAGATTTTATGTGCATCCTCTAAATCCTTTCTTCTCCTAGAAAGAAGCCAGAGCCAAATTTCTTCAACTGCCTTCTGAATCTCTTGCTGAACTAGAAATAAATAAAATGCAAAGACATTTTGGTGTGAAAGGTTTACATCAAGAAAAGGGCTCTATATCACTTCTAGATTCAGGGCTCTGCCAAGGTAATTCTGATTAGTAGCTTTGCTGACATTCAAAAACAGGCTTTTCTGATACTGTAGCAAAGTAAGCACCCTGGTTAATCTCCATCCCACCTCACCTCCACAAATACACACTGATGCCATCTTACATTATGGGAGTTCTGGGCTAGATATTTGCACTCAGTGCATTCATTCCAGCAGGACACTTCTATCATTACAGCAAAATCACTAGCAGTACTCCAGTTTTTGCTACTGCCTGTACAGAATGTGTATAGAAATCAGAACAGACATGTTTAAAATAATAAATGACACATATCTCCCCATGTATCTCATATAGCATTCTTTTTTTTTTCATTATCATGCAATAAATTACAAACAATTTGTGTGAAAATGTTTCTATATCAAGATTACAAAATGCAAACAAATTTTTAAAGGGTGTACAGTATGTGAGTTTTGAATTTAGTTCCCTAGTACAAAAGTCATAATCAATATGGTCGGCCCTGGATACAACTTCAAGACTCCGTTGCTTGGAAGCCATCAAATTCAGCACTACATATATCTTTTAGTCTAAAAGATTCAGATGAAATACTTACTATCCTTTCCATGCCAGCTGGTGGGCTAGTTCTGTCTATGCTTGGCTCTTGGAAGTATATTCAGCTCTTCGAAGCAAAGCAGGACATCTACAATAGCCTTGTCTCTTTCTTTTCTTTACCAGCCCCTATTTCACCCCACCCCACCCCCAATTTTCCACCAATCATGTCATGTTTACCATCCTTCAGAGCAAAAAGGTCATCCATCCTCTCTTCCTCTTTTCTCGGGCCAAGAAAAATAGGGCAACCAGAAGCTGGCATCCATTTTCCCTCACCATGTTCATGATAGCTGTAACCCAGAAAGTAAACAAATGTCTGATTAAAATATAAGCAGATTCATTAAAACCACTATGAGAGAAGAAAGAAGTTGGACTATGGATTATTTAATGCAACTTAATCCTAACATATTTATTTTTAAAGAATTTTCTTAAATATGTGCTTATTTTTAAGAACTCTAATAACCAAGGACAACAAATGGCAGTGAATGCCACATATTGCTGCAATACTGCTATTTGGGGATTTACTTTGGCCAAACGTAGCATTTCAAGGTAAAAGAAGTAGATGTCTCCACACCCCTAGTGGCAATACAGAATCTTTATGGATTCCATTTTTTCTGTCTATTAAGAGAATTGCCTCTTTATTCCCATTCTATTTCCTGTTCTTTAAGTCAGACATGGTGCTGTTGTTCTACCAGTAATGGCTTGAAGCCATAATCTCTAAGCTAAGGAACCTTTCCAGATCTAAACAAAAAGAGTATGGGACTTTCTTGAATGTGGAATTGCCTTCTGTCTAGCTAGCAAAGTCCTTATATTTCTATCTTTATTGTTGCATCTCTTGGACTTTCCTTTTGGAGCTGATGCCACAGGACACAATCTCCCGATAGGACTGTTCTGCCTAAGATTAAATATAGTTATTGAAGCTTTGCAAGCAAATGGCAAACTCGCATAATAAACAATCCAAGGATCAAAGCCAGGATAAAGCAAGAGACAACTGGGGTCAAGAAATGTGTCACTTGTGTTCCTACAGTAAGTAGGGTGACACACAATGTCATCTTGATGAATAATCACAGATTTACTGAAATCCCTGTCCACATACAAAAAGCCTTCCTCCATTCTTCTCTCTCTCATTCATGAGTAACACATAAGGGCTGCAACTGAAAATGTATCAATCAATCAATCAATCAAATTTTATTTACAGCCCAAGACCAAACACAAGAAAAAGACCAGCAATATTATAATAATTACTATTAAAAGGAATTTTAAAAATTGTGAGAAAATCTACCAGATGGCTTCTAACAACTATAGCTATTGATAACAATTTTGGAAAGTCTTAAGGCTGGGTTCCATGTAAGTACATGGTGATGAACCATCACAGTTTTCAGAACAGAGCATTTATAGCATTGAGGAGCAGAAGCATGGTAGCAATTGGCTTATTTAGTTGTACCTGCTGGGCATCCACTGTGGTTGGTAGTAAAGCAAATTTTGCCTCTTTCCTAAAGAAAGCGTGGTTACAATTCAAGTTGTCCTGTCCAAGGCTAAACAAAATTACTAAATTTTACAAGCAAGTAGCAGAGAGGGAGAACATGGATAAAGAGATACAGGTTAGTAAACCATCTGTATAAATGATGAGTAGTCTGGATAGCCGGATAAAAAAGCATCTGAGAGAGAACATTTACGATGGCTGAATTTCAGCAGTCATTTTAGTATATGAATATTTATAAAAGCTTCTTGTGCCTCCCCCTCCATTCCAAGCTTCTTCTGTTTAGGGAAGTCTGATTTTTCCCCTTTTGTTCCTGAACCTTTAGCTTTCACCTCTGGTTGTTAACATGTATCTGGGTCCATTCCTGGGATGAAATTCCAACTTCTTCCAGTTCTAGGTCAGACAGAAATTGGATTGCAAACTGGCTCAACTGTTCTTTATGTAAACAAGGATCCTTTTCAAACCTCCTCCTAGTATTGAGCAATATTCTGGCCAGAGCTGATTTGTTATCTTTGACGCTATTATGATTTCTGAATTCTGTAGCTGAATCTTTCTTGTCCAATTCATTTACATGAGCTGAGCCATGGCAGGGAGGAGGCTCAGCTTTTGTCTTCTCATATGACTGATCAATGGCAAAAATGACACCACATATAGTGCTTTGCAGCAGAGAAGCTCTTTCTTATATTATACATGCAGAGATCTTTGGAACATCCTCTTACTATACATTGGAAAGAGAGAGGAAGACTCTCCCTTTTCTATGCAAACAGTGTTATACAAAAATATCACTAGTCCACAATCTATTTCTTGCCATAGTTGACATACACAGGCATTTGAGTCTAGCAGAGAACAGAAATAAAGAAATGTTTTGGCTTTGTATCAACAAGGTTAGAGAGCCATTTTGTTTGGTTGGGTCATTAAATGTATAGGAATTGTGCAGTATTTATGTTTTCAGAGCTGGGGAGGGCTCATCTCCTTGAAGTTTAGGTATAATTTTGATATCAACATACTTAACACTGACTCTATATTCAATCACAGCAACAGCTCGGAGCTGATCTGGAAAGGCTTCTGGCTGAAGCGTAGCTTCTCTGACACTCTTATATCCTACTTTTAGAGTGAATAACAGTCATGTACTTATCAAAAATATGTATATGCTTTTCCACTGCAGCACAAGGCTCATGGTAATCTAGAATTACAGAAATATAAATAAATAAATGCCTTACATTAGAGTATAATGCTGCAGAACACAGGTAAAAGATAAAATAATTCAAAGCAGAAATATGAAAAATACCCTTCATTTTTTTAAAGAAGGATGTTTAGCAGATGACAGAAGGCAATGGGAAGAGGAGGAAAGTTTACTCTCCCATGCCAAGGACTCCACAGTTCCACACGACAAGAGGCACTATCTTGATGTACCTCCCAACTAATCACATCACTGTAGGAGCACCAAAAAGTCCGTTCCCCAGATCTTAAATAATAGATAAGCTGGCAGCTAGAGCTTTAAAGGTGAGCAGCATCACTTTGAAACATGGCTAGAAATAAACTGAACATCACTGTAGTCACTATAATCCGGATGAACATCGAGGATCTTTGTTCCTGTGTCCTAGACTAACTTAGTTCCTGGAGTCTCCTGAAGATCAAACCTACATTGACCACACTGGAGTAATTCAATGAATACTGTCAAAATGCATGCCACTGAGGAAACATATTGTCTTTGAAAAAAGTTTCTGCAAATATCTCTTGCCTACAGTTCTGCCAGAATAAGAAAACACTGTCATACCTCATAGATCTCAGCTGTAATAGGCAATACAAAAAGCACGTAATGAAATCCAGGCTAGAGTTGTTCACTGCAAAGATGATATCCCATTGCATCTGAAGGGTTTGTAGAACTTTAAGAAGACTTTGCCAGTCAGAAAAGGAATTAGATAAATAATACAAGATACTGTGGTTTAAACAGTTGTACAAGTTGTTCATAACTGATTCTTTATGGAGAAAAATCTTTCCTGTTACCTATTAAAACAAAATTGAGAGGATCAGAATGCACTGTATTTGGGGATAAGACCCAAATGTTCATATGGCAATCCCTAGCAAATCATGAGAAATACAGAAATAAGGTTTGACTCAAGAGCAACGCTGCCCTTGCCGCCAAAAAAGCTCACTTCTGGGCCAGCTACTCAACTGTTTTAAAGCTGATACAATTCTGTGCGCTGAAGAGTCTCCATTATGATTCTCAAATCTATTTCAGTGGGGCAATTCAACTGAAGGGTCATTGAATCAAAGTACCCATTTGAAGCTTTGCACAATATTTTTTGATACCTCCAGAAACATTCCTGATTTAAGACATTTATAAGCAATTATGCATTCAGATTTGCAACGAAGTGCTGCAAAGGCAGGAATGCTGTCTATCCACTCTTCTGCTTTTCATGGAATGTGTTTTTGGCTGTGCTTGCAGATGTTCAGCCAAATGCAAATGCAAATGAAGATTTTTCTTTCTGCTCTATTGTTTTCAATCTGTTGCATATAAAAATGTGCACTGAAATGCATACCCAATAATGACTGTTAAATCCCCATTTACCTTGTGCAAAAGTTTCTGTAATCCAACCACTTTCCTTCTCCAACAAGCTTGAACAAATGTGAGCATTTAAGCTGTCAATCCCCTCAAAATGGAAATTAAATCCATGATAGGGAGAATTTAGGAGAATTATTTATTCTCATAGAAGTAGGGTACCTGGGGTAGAAACCATCCCTAATAAACTTACAATGGCATCACTTCATACGTTTGTTGTGATCTAAAAATGTCTAAGAATAGCACTTCAGGGGAATAAAGAAGCCCTTACCAGTTGCACTTGCTCTGTAATGAAAAGTATAGTCTTCTTTGGTTCTGTGACAAACATTCCTTCATAAAGTTTGCTTACCAGCTTCTGGGTAAAATAGCAAACATTTACTATAAATAAAGGTCTGGCAGATGCCAAAACATTTCTGATATCACCATTTCCTGTAAGGCAGAAGAGAAGGTTTCAATTCTGAAATGCAATCTAAAACAATGGAATCTCTTGGAAAAAAATAATCCAATTTATCTTCTGGATGAATCCCAGATTGTTGGATAGCCAATTTTAAGGACTGGTTGTTCTTTAATGTTTTCTCCTATTAGAATTTGGGGACCACCAATAGTATTTGTTCTGTTAGTGTTCCTGCATTTGTTTTAATTTTTATTTTTCTAAATTGTATACATACTCAATTAACAAAAAATCTTTCAGCTTATTTTTTTTTAAAAAGTAGAAAAGAAACCACCCCAAACAAATTAAAAATACAAACTAAGAAAGAAAAAAAGGGGAAAAAATCTACCTTATATTTTATACTTATCAATAGTATAGTTTACTAATGAATATACTACCATAATATAATCAGTACAAAATATTGGCCTAAAATATCACAACATCTCTGCCACAGTAATACACATTGCTGCATCCTTTGATTAGAAAAATGCTGCCTTTCCAAAACAGATAGATCATAAATTTCCAACAACCATTACTTGACATGTGGAATAATATCACATTTCCAATTTCTCAGTGGGATTCTTTTAGCCATGCCCTTCTCCGCCCCCCCCCCCGCCCAACTTTGGTATATAGTTCAACATTACACTGACATATTTAACAAGGTTTTCTCTTCTCTTCTACTAGGACCAATTATTTGGGGTGGGGGAACTGGATTCCCTTTGTAGCTGGAAATCCTGCCATTCCCCTCGCTTCTAAAGATGATGGGCCCAGAACCAGTGGGCAAACATCAAACTTGGTTTGAAGAGAATAGGGAATGTGAATTCACAAATGAACATAGCTACAGGTAAATACTGGTCCTTAAACATGGCCATCAAGCCGTCTAAGCAACTAGGAAAATGTATGCCTTAAGTGCAGAAACTGTCATTTCTACAAATAATGTTTAGATTAAGAAGTTACTTCATTGTTTTATTTACAACTAAGCAAGTTTTGAATGTTTTTTTTTTTTTTGGTCTAAGGTCCACTGTACTTTATCAGACACAATTGGTTAAGAACACAGTGGGGAACACACATCCAAAGCAATGCAGTGCTGCTGGCAGCTGCAAGCATGCTACACAAACAGCCCAGTGTATTCCCCATTGTGTGCCTGCTTACTCTCTTGTAATCCCTTCCTCTCCAATCTCTCTACTTTGGGGAGGGGGCGGGGAGAAAAAAAACCAAGCAATTTCTGTAGGCAATCTCACCTGTGTCTGACCTGTCTTTTTCTTCCTCTCTTGCAGAGTGGAGAGATTGGAGAGGAAGGGATTAAGCAGGCATACAATGGGGAATATGCTGGGCTGTTGGTGTAGCATGCTTGCGTCTCCCAGCCCCAAGTGTGCTCCTTTCAATGTGTATTCCCCACGGTGTGCCTGCTTTCTCTCTTGTAATCCCTTCCTTTCCAATCTCTCTGCTCTGCAAGGGGAAAAAAAAAGAAAAAGAATGGTCAGACACAGGACAATGCTTACTGACTATAATGGCAACCATGTGACTGAGGGATGCTGCGAAGGTTGTAAATGCAGGCATTGGTTGTAAAGTTATTTTTTCAGCACTGTTGTAATTTCGAATGGTTGCTGAACGAGGCAGTTGGTAAGCAAAGACTACCTGTATCTGGATTTGATTTCTGTTTCTTAGGTAACTAACTTTACACTTATCTCTGTTAAATTTTATTTTGTTTCTTTGACACAGTTCTCTAAACTTTCAAATTGTTTTGAAATGTATTTCTGTCTTCTACAGTACTGGTATTCCACTAATTTTGGGTATTCTACAAATTTGATAAGCATTCCCTACAACTTCATCCAAGTCATCGATAACACTACTGAAGAGTAAAGGGTCAGGACTGGACCCTGTGGCTCCTTACTCGATACCCCTCTCCAGTGTGGTGAGAGACCACTGATGAGCATTCTCTGAGTATGATTTTCAACTCAGTTATACAACTTGCTAATCAGAATGGCATGGGGTATTATCAAATGTTTTCCTGAAATTAATATATATCTATAAGCATTTCTACAATCTATTAAGGAAGGTAACAGATAAAGCATGAGATAAGGTTAGTTTGGCAAGACTTGTTCTAACCAAATCCATGTTGACATCTATCCTGAACTTTGACCATAATACAGATTTGATTGATTGATCATGTTGACATCTGGAGCTTACAGATCAATCTCTTTATAATCTGTTGTAGAATCTTTCCAGGTATTGATGTCAGATTGACCTGCCTGTCATTTCTTAGGATCCTTGTTTTTCCTGCATTTGAAGTGCCTTGCTGAATTAGTTTAAGGTTAATCAAATACTTCATTCTTTGCAAGACTTCCAGCATCAAGCTGGTTTGTATTCCTGTTGTTTGCCACTGAGATATTTATGTTAGAACATATGGCCATCCAAATGAGGCTAAATTGCAACTTTCAACACTTAGCATAGCTGTTTGCAAAGAATGCTGGGAACTGTAGTTCAGCAATATCCAGAGGGCCATTACATTCTGCACATTTGTGTAGTAGATTCAGGTAGAAAGATGGCTTAACTGCAAGTGACACTCACCTGTTAAACTGGAGGCTTCCCTGTAATTTTGATCAAGGTTGTAGACAATATCTATAATGGAAAGCAATATCTCTGTCTGGAAGCACATCTTTTGCTCAATAGCAACATTCTCTGGAGAAGCCTGTGTAGCAATAATATATAATCGATCAAGTCTGCAGAGAACACTATTGGTTAGCATTATTAGCAAATACTCCTGTTCTTAGGGAGGCTACATTAGAGCGAAAACATTTTCAGAAAATGTTGTACAAGAAAAAGACAACTCTCCAATTGCATTTTCCAGAACCAGGCCTTTTCCTCATAAAAGGTTGGCAGTGGTCCTAATATTCTATAGTTCACTGTAGAAACCATTGTATGACATAGAGAGATCGAAGATTCTATATCATAAAATCCCTAAGGAACTTAATCTCTTGAACCATCTTGCAAAAACTCTGGAATGGAGGGAAAATACAGCAAAAAGTAGGTTAAAGCACCAGTTTTCTTGTCCTCTGCTTTATAAAACTCTTCTGCTTAAACACTCTAAGTAACAATGCAAGTAACAAGGAACAGAATGTGTTAGTAGCAAGTGTAGAATAATCCTGGAGCTTCCATTCAAGGTCTTCAACCCTTCTTCTTCCCTCCCTCTGTCTCATCCCATAACTTGTGGAATAGACAAATGGATGAGACCTCAAGAATGAACTCCAATGGATGCCACTTTTTGTCCCTCCAGTCAAGTAGCATTATTCCTCTCAGGAGAAGTTGCATCAAATCCCAAACTTGTTTCCTAGCTGGATGCTGAAACAAAGAATCACAAAGGCCAGAATTCTTTTCCCAGGAAGAGGCAACAGCCATGCTGTGGGGACATGACCCATTCTCACTCCCATCCTGAAAAAAAAAAGAAAAAAAAAGAAAAACATAAGCAGTCACAGTGTGTGACCAGCATGTTTGGTTGTATTTCCACAATGATTTTTTATCCCCCATAGGAAAGGTTGGTGAAAATATATCAACAACTGGAATATCAACTGAATAACATAAAACCACAAATAAGACAGATTGCTAAAATGTAATAAACCAGCAGCTGTGATGTTAGAAGAAATTGCATACTAAAAATGAGCAGTGGCAGAAATAAAGGATGTTATAAATTAAAAGCCCTTTGAAACTATCTCTGGTGGGAAAAGATGCGAAGATGGATTTTGACAACATGAGTATTCCACAGCCACACTCTCAAAATGAGCTCATCCTTTGCAGGAAAATCCAGATGCCCTTTCCCCAACTAGCATTTTGGACTCACTCAAAAGTGTTTTTCCAAGCTCAAACAGCACATTATGATCTCCCAGCATATCACTCTGTTAATGTTTCCATAGTTGGATTGCTGTGTAGAGAGCAATTGCAAGGGTAATGGAGTACTTATTGAGTAGTGGCCACCATCAATGACATACTCCTTTTTTGTCCTCCCATCCCTGCATCATATTGAAAAATAAAATAATAATTTGGTTTCTGAGGTGGCTTTGCACTTTTTACATTGCAGCTACAGACCACTATTCCAAGAACCCCCTTCTCTTATACATTTTGACCACAGTTTCTGGACACAGTTGTTTTTAGTCTAGCTATATTGCACCTTCCGCACTGGGGTTTAAAATAAGGAAGTTTGTAGAGCAAGAGTAGCAAATCTCTTGGATGTGTGGGCAACTTTTCTCCCTGAGCCAGCAAGTGTGGCAGGCAGGAAGAACAGAACTCAGCTGCTTTACCCTCTCTAACTCTGCTCTGTGTAACCAACTTGCTTAAACTCCTGACTAGAGGGAAAATGGGAACACTGTTTTCAATGGTTTCTGCTCTCCCATTAGTGAGTAAAAAACAGTCTTAGCTTCTGTAACTCTCACTGTGCTCTACTGACATATCGTATCTGAAATTCCTGCTACTAAAGGAAGCAACATACTTTTGCTTCTAGTTTCTGTTATTCCACTTCCTCAACTAAGTCATCCCTATTGATTTGTATCAAGTCAATGAGAGTTGACCCTCTTGTGCCTCCCTTCACTCTCTGAAAGAGAAAGCTGTCAGCAAGAGAATTCATTTCCTGGAAGAACCATGCTTTGCAGAGTTTGTCTCCCAACAGATGTTGTGGGAATTAAAGTCCCCTATCACTACAGGGCTTTTTGTACTGCTGAGCTGAGATGCTATCACCCATCCATGAATTGGCAGAAAAATAGACCAGCATGAACTTTGCTATACCCACTGTTGATCCCTATCCTCTGTCTTTTATCTGTTTCCAGTCACTGCTTTCAGCTGACTTCCTTCCTAGGTAGTAAGTGACAAGGCTAACATACTTTTATAGACTGTGAGGCACTCGTTGGACATCGCTGGCTTAAGGGAGAAAACACTATATCCATATGGATGGAGGTATAGATTACTTAAAGCTATCTCACTCATGGGCTGCAGATGAGATTAAACATCATCATGGGGACACAACAGAGATGTTGCCAAGGCATGATTATGCTATGGTTAGATGCAAGTGGGGAAGCACCATTCAACTTCCTATCTCTTTGAAAGTTCTGCAAGTTGCTTCCCCTATCAATTCCTCTTACGATGCCTCCTTCGTATCTAATGTATCACAGTCCTCTCACATAAACTGCAGTGCCAATCACTGCTCCAGCCCCAGTGCTGTTTTCTTCAGGCACCTGCTGCAAGTATATGCCTGGTCATTTTCAGCAAGAAAACAAACATGCCACAACTTTTTCAAGTCACAGAATTCATCTTCACTTTTGTCTCTTAAACCCGACA